CATCATCGTTACCAAAATAACTTTAAACCAAAATCATAAAATCCATCAAAATGGATCATAGCATCAATTCATCAAACTGAAAATTGAAAATAAATATACCACATACTTCTGATACGATGAACGACACCGTCTCGGAGAAGACGAGATGATAAGCGTCGTCGAAGAAGACGAGATGATAAACCGTCGTCGGAGATGACGAGATGCCGTCTTCTGATACGATGAACGACGCCGTCGTCGGAGAAGACGAGATGATAAGCGTCGTCGGAGATGACGAGATGCCGTCGTCGGAGATGACGAGTTTCGTCGTCGTCGGAGATGCCGGCGACTGATTTCAATTTTTTTTTTTAATAATTAATTAGACAAAAGAATAGAGGGACATAATGGTAAATGAGCATATTAAAGAAACCTATTTTTGGGATAATGGGCCTTGGGGGCTATTTTTGTGATAGAAACTTGGATTGGGGCTATTTTGGCCTTTTTTCTTTATTGAATTTTCTAGAAACCCAGCTTTATCTTTTTGAGCACGTTTGAAGGGTTTGAAAGCAGGGTTACTCCTGAGATGAATCCATCCTTAACCAAAGAAGTCTCCTCTGAAGAAATAAAAAAAAAAAGCATCTTTTGGAATTATAAGTAGTAGTGGCCCTGGTGAAGATGGCCTTACCGGTTTTTTCTACCAAAAATACTGGCACATTGTGGATCGGAAAATTACGGATGATGTTAAAGGTTTTTTTAACACAGCAATTCTTCCTTCTGGGTGGAATCATACACAGTTATTCCTACTACCAAAAGTTTTACACCCTACGGAGATGAAGGATATGCGACCTATTAGTCTTTGTAGTGTTCAATACAAGATTATTTCCCGTATCCTCTGTGCACGTTTGAAGGGGATTATGCCTAATATAGTATCAGAAACACAAGGAGCTTTTGTTGAAGGTAGATTAATTACCGACAATATCATTATAGCACATGAATTAGTACATGGGCTACGAACAAATGATAAGATCGATAGGGAAAGTATGGCTATAAAGACAGATATGTCAAAAGCCTACGATCGGGTAGAATGGAATTTCCTTGAAGTATTACTGGAAAAAATGGGTTTTGATCGTAAATGGGTCGTTTGGATAATGTCATGCATTACTACGGTCACTTTCTCGGTATTACTTAATGGACGCTCCCATGGGTTTATTAAACCGGAAAGAGGAATACGTCAAGGCGATCCCCTATCCCCTTTTCTTTTCATTTTATGTGCAGAGGCCTTGGTTCGTGTTTTAAATAGAGCTGAGTCGTTAGAGAAGTTACATGGTATTAAGTTAGCAACAGGTAGCCCTTCGGTTCACCATCTGTTATTTGCTGATGACAGCTTATTGCTGTGTGAAGCTTCTATCAGGGAAAGTGAGGAAATTTTGAAAGGTCTGAAACTTTACGGGGACGCGTCGGGGAAAATGATTAACCCTTTGAAATCTTCAATCATTTTTGGAAAAAATATAACAAATGACAAAAAAACAAGCGGTAACAAGGATTCTGGGGATTGAGAAGGAAGGAGGAGAAGGGTCATATCTTGGTCTTCCTGAATGTTTTCAGGGTTCAAAAAAAGATCTATTAAACTTTATCAAGGAGAAATTAGAAGGGAGGTTACAGGGGTGGTACTCCAAAACTTTGTCAATGGGGGCTAAGGAAGTGTTGATAAAGTCGGTTGCACTGGCTCTTCCAATTTATGCAACGTCAGTTTTTCGGCTACCAAAGGGACTTTGTGAACGAATTACGAGTGCGATTATCGAGTTTTGGTGGAGCAGTAGAGATAAAAGAGAAAGATTCCCTGGGTTGCTTGGGAGAAGTTATGTAAACCAAAAGAACAAGGGGGTCTTGGTTTTCATGACATTGGCCGTTTCAACCAAGCCTTACTCGGGAAACAAGCTTGGCGAATTTGGAATAACCCCGATTTTTTGGTTTCTCGAATTCTTAAAGGCAAATATTTCAAAAATGGAAATTTTCTTGACTGCGGTATGGGGACTCGTCCCTCATTCGCATGGCGGAGTATTATGCACAGTAGAGAACTACTTAAAAAGGGATTGTTTCGACATATCGGTAATGGGACGGATACAAATGTTTGGGCAGAAAACTGGATTATTGATCAAGTTCCCCGACCTCCCATGTACCGGGAAAATAGTACCATAGACTTAACATTAAATGTTTCAGATTTATTCCTACAGGGGTCAAATCATTGGGACATTAATTTGTTACAGCGTACATTTACACCACAAGATGTACAACGGATTTTATTGCTGCGACCGGCTGTGGATTCACATGATACTTTGAAATGGGGCTTCACGTCAAATGGGGCATATTCGACTCGGAGTGCGTATAGGTTTTCAGAGACTTTGGTGGATTACGAACATCCTCCGCAGCACTCTCTTACTCCGATTGGAAAATATTTGTGGAGAGAACTATGGAAGACTAAGCACCCCCTAAAATAAAGCATTTCATGTGGCGTGCTCTATCTGGGGCTTTAGCTGTTAAACAACGACTGGCTACTCGGGGTATCCCTATTGACCAAACCTGCTCGTTTTGTGGTAATGGGGTTGAGAGTATTTGTCATGTCCTCTTTACATGTGTTAAAGCAAGAGCAACATGGGAGAAATCGAATTTTCCTATACCTCCAGAAGGTTTTTCTCGGAATTCCACATTTTTAAATTTTTTGCATCTGAACAAGACTGCCAAGAATTCAAATTTGGATAGCCATACAAGGAAAGTGTTCCCATGGTTATTGTGGGAAATTTGGAAAGCTAGAAATGCTTTTACTTTTGAAAACAAAGTTATTGACACTCTCGTCGTGGCTAAGAAAGCCTATGAAGCAGAATCCATATGGTACGATACTTTCACAGAGAGGAGTGATGGGATTACTAGTAATGATACGGAAATGGTACGATGGAAACATTCGGCCAGTGGTTTCCTAAAATGTAATATTGGATCTTCATGGGTCAAATCCAATCAATCTAGTGGTGCTTCATGGATTTTACGTGATGAACATGGAGTTACGATCATGCATAGTCGTCGAGCTTACTCTTTTATGCGAACAAAAACAGAAGCGGCTATATGGGCTCTGTTTTGGGCGGTTAAATGTATGGATAATTTACATTTCTCAAATATTATTTTTGAGACATCATCCGACAGCCTTCATGACGTTCTCACAAAGCCTGCTACCCAGCAAAACCCTGATTTCAGCATCATCTGCCATAATATCGTCTCTCATCTGGCAAGAATAAACACATGGAGCCTAGATCACGCCTTTCAAGAACAGAATGAAGCCGCAACTGCAATTGCTCTAAGTGTAACTCGGGATCAACGTCATCAATCATACATAGCCAGACATGCTCCGGTGTGGCTTCATCATCTTCTCGCTTTGGAGGCTCAAAAGTAAGGAGATAGTTGGGTGAGAATCATTTCCTTTTGTTTTGGGTGTCTACTGACATCTTATTTTATTTTTCTCATTATGTATCTCGAGTAACCATTGTTGAACAATCATATTTATCAGTGTTATAAAAAAAAAATATTTCTGAGCACGTGTAGATGTGGGCTGAAAAGGAGCCATTGGGCTATCAGTTGGTTCTGTTCATTTTTGAAGGCTATTTAAGGTGGGAAGGGTAGAGCTTGACTTTTGATGGGGTGAACACAAATGAGTTTCGATAAAGCAAAGCCTATTTCATATTTTGTTTTATGAACTGAATACACACAGGATTGTACAATTTATTCAATCTTTTGTTACATATGTATTTTATTTAAAATAAACCAAGAATTGTTCAAAAGGTTCTAAATTACATGCAACATATGTCTTTAGAGTTTAGACCCATCTTCTGTACACTCCTATACTCTTTTAAGTGGCTTCACAGAAACTGCCTTTTGAGACAGATTTGGATGAAGAAACACTTCCTAAAGACAGCTTCACATAGCATTTATAACTTCGACCATAACTCTCTAATAGACTCTATTACTTCTCAAACATCTTGAAAATTAGCATGCCAAACATCTTGGCAATTGAAAAAAAGATATATCCAGGGGACCAGTGGTTATCTATTTCTCAGACTCTCTTCAATGTCTAGCTACAGTGAATTCAATCAAACCTATAATCACATAAAGTAATCACTGTCACACTTTATTATCCATTATCTAAAGACAGAACTACAGAGACCAAGCAGAAACAAATTGTATTTCGACAAGTAAACGACACAAGAAGGACCATTTTAGCCATGTTCTTATTACTGTTCAGAGTACTAACAACAAATGGTCGTGTGGTAGATCACCATCGAAGAAAGAAATTTGATAAACGCAGACTGGCTTGTATTTTAAGGAGCATAGAGAGGCTCGGGCATGTTTTCTCTTCGAATCCTAGCATACAAAGTAATTGTAAGGATAGACTCATTAAAAGTAATAGTAGAGGAACAAACGTTAAACAACATTTTACCAGTTGTCATCTGCCCATTTGCATCCATCAGATTCCACTACATGTAAGCTATAGGCATGTCTTGACTTGGCAGATAGATTCTCGAAACTGCATCCCATAGAGAACATGATTTTAAAGGCAAGCTACTTCATATTTGAAGGTGGAAGTTTTACCTTTGATGGATAAGATCACCATGAATGGCAATCAACGAGCCTGCTTTCATCTCAATAGGCACAAAATCTTTCTGGTCGTAAGACGGTGATGGCCTATCAAACGTTACACCATTTTCACCCCTGATAAACCTTCTAACCAGACCGTCTGAAACAAAGCAGAGGAAAGAAAACAAAGACTGTTTAGCTAAGGAGATCACAACGAACAGTAGAGGCTAGAAAACATACTCTTGTGAGATCCAGGTATTGCCCAAAGACAACCGTTAACAAGGGTGGAATCTTCTAAAGCCATCCAGAGACCAGTACAGCTCGGTGGATCCGTGTACACAAAAGAATTATCCTGGTGTGGCACAACTTCTCCTCCAATTCCAGGTTGCTAGTAACATCATTGCCAAAAAAAACTCATGTTAGTTCATAATGTTATAGGTTTGGAAAGTTTAAACGTAACCACAAAACACCATTTCCAAAGTTGTTCATGTAAGTGATGTCTTAACCCAACATATAGTGAGTACACGATGAAGTTTGCAACTACAAACGTCGCAAGAGGCACAAAGAAAAGCCAGAGAAGTGAATAAGATTTACCTTGAAAATGTACATAGCTTGCATGACGACTGGTCTTCTGTAACCTAAGGATGATACCAAACTTGAAACCTTGGACGAGTATGTGAACTCCTTGTACAACGGGTCAAGCTCATGTAGTGCTGGACCAGGACAAACATAAATTATCACTTATGATATGTTTTTTTCTATCCACTTAACACTAGAATTTTGTAGTGAACATTTTAAGGAAAAAAAAAAGATTACCATGGCCAACTTTGTTTATCGAAAGCTCTTTTGGTTGCTTCAATTCCCCATCATCGCCGAAAGCTTTTTCTGAGATTCGATACACAAGAACTCTTCAGAATAGGGAAAGCAGCTAATAGCGAGAGATTATAATAACAAAAGCAGTAGACAATATCAACTAAATGATCAACAAAGAGTATAACGTTTACAAACAAACTAATGATAAATGTATTGTAGAGAAAAAATAGCTATTCACAAACAAAGAATTTGCACACATACTAACAACAATAAAGTTGCCATAGGAACAGTTCCAAAGAAGAGCTTAGAAGAGTAGTAGAGGAAACAACCTTCAAAGAAGAAGGAGATTTTTTCAGCGCTATCAAAGAAGTAATTATCGGTCGTGTTCTTCTGCAGAAGAAACATAAATATCAACAGATTTTAAGTAAGGGTTTCAGCAAATTAATCATACAAAAACAATATAATGAATACTAAAGAGAAAAAGAAAAGAGAACCTGGTTTTTAGTGGAGAAAATAGAAGAGACAGAGCAATCAAATTGAGTCAGCAACTCATCCATCCTCTTCCTCAAGGCTCCAATCTCATCCTCACTCGCGAAAGATTCGATCACCAAATACCCTTTTTTCCAATTATTATTACAAAATCAATTCACTTCTTCTTATTCACTCATCATCAATCCAAACAGAAAAATAGAGTTAGTAGTAAAAGTATCTCATAGACCAAACCTTGAGAGTTGTAAAACTCGAGCTGATCTGGTGTTAGACTTCCCGTGATTCCCATGATACAGTTGCTTCCGATAATGATTTCTCCGGCGATTTTATATGTCAAATCCTTTGTGCGAATCTTTTTTTTTTTCTTTTTTATGTGTGTGTGTTTATTTCTTCTAATAAAACACTCTTTTCTCTTTTGACTTTAATTTACCCAAACACAGAACAGAGCAGAATAAAGTTTTGCCCAAACTCTTGAGTTGGCTATACACGCCACTTCCACGTGGACACTTATCTATCAGTTTCAGACTTTCTTGGGATTTTCGTAACGCGCTAAATAATCGCGTGAGGTTTGTTTTTCGGGATTCTAGATTATTGATTGGTAAGGTACTGTATGGGGCCTATCGTCTTCAGAAGCCTTTAGGTCTTGAAAACGATTCTTAGCCCAATCATTAGCCTATTAAGGTTTACTTACAATACATTAAGAGTAAATTGATTTGTATGACAACATATTGATGCCTTCACACAAAGGAGCAAATAAAAAGAAAGAATCAAATCAATACTGAGAGT